CGAGAGGGGCAAACTCAGGCATGATCCTCTGAGAAGAAGTACATAAGAGGAATTTGCAAAGCCAATACAATAAAAAAGAGAAAATTCTCTATCAGTCACAGGGCCTTCTCTTCTGTTCTCAATCTTGACAAAGTCATTATAGGATGAGTTCAGAGAGGGGAGAGAAAAAGGGGTTTTGAGGTCATGATAGTCTAGACCAATGGGGGTACCAGTAAGGGATAATCCTAATAGATGACAGATGTCAAGGACAGTAGGAGCCATCATCCCACATCTGAATTGGAAGAAATTGAAAGCAGAATTCCAAAAACAAAGAGCAGCAGGTATTAAAAAATGGTCCTCTAAAATGGTGAACCTAGACAATTGAAGGGCGTCGAAGAGGCAGAGCTCTTGAAGATCCAGTGTCTTATCAGGGACGACCCGATCATACCATTCCTCCCACTCTGGTCTTACTGTGGGCCAGCAACGATAGGGTCGGTTCATCCTCCAGCTTCCCTAATCAAGATCGCCTTCATAAATGAGGCAATGATCTTCCAAACGCAGATACAAAGCTGGAAGCTCAGTGGGAATCTCCTTAAAAATGGGTCCAAGCACGTATTCTTGTTGCTCATAGCATCGGGGAATGAAGATACTTTCATCGATGGCACTTTTCTCACCAGCCATACTCTTTATCAATGATCATTTTTAAGGCTATGGATGGACTCGCACGCTTCATAATCGGTATTTTCAAGGAAGAAGAAGCCATTGACAGGAGTTTTTTCAGGGGACAAAGTTGAGGAAGATGGAAAGGGAAAAGAGGAAGTCAATAGAGATGAAGAATTTGTGTGTTAGGCAAACAAGCGAATTGAAAGCACAAAATAAAAGGGTTTTTAAACCTTTATGTCTGAGAAAATACCTAATTGTTTTAAGTGGGTTGAATTCATAAAGAAGTGCTAAAGGTATGGATACGAAAGGTTTCTGTCAATGTTGATAATTTGGGAGGGAAAAACATCTCAATTACTAATATTGGCTTCGAAATCAAATGTTTGGTTTCAAAGCCAAGCTTTAGTGCCAAAATCAAGTGACAAACAACTTCGAAAGTAGGAAGTTGACTTCGAAGTACATTTCACACCTAGGAGTGCAGGAGTGCCCAGGTATTTGTTTACTTCAAAAGGATTAAAGACTTGTTTTTCGGTTTCTTGGTGAAAGCAAAATCCTTCGAAGCAAAGTTTGAAATACCTTACGGTTAGAATTTGCTTGTTCTAGGCTTCAAAGTGACGTAAAACCAATAGTTGGTTTAGTAGTATACAAAAGGAATCACTCTTTTAGAATGAAACAGTGCAGTCCTTAAAGGAAGTTTCCATACTTCGGAAAATGTAGACTGTTTGTTCGAAGCAAAAATAGTTGATTCGAAACTGTTGATTGTATTAACCATATGAATGGGAAAATTGTCAATTACACTCCATATGCTGGGGAAGTTCAAATTAGGTCTCTAGTATTCCATTGGATATATTTAAATCAAGTTTCGAAAGACAAAATTGGTGAATTCGAAACTCTGATTTTGTTCATTTTGGATAAACATAATGAAATCAGACTGTGCCGAATAAATAAAGGAAAGTCTAGCTTTATTAAGGTGAAAGTAATTACATCAGAAGGCCTTTTTGGCTATATATTCAATTTCATAAAAATAAGAAATAGAGAAAATGACAAGGTCATGGAACTTGTTCTAACAGTGGTCAATGAATTTATGTTCCTTTTTTATTCTGTCTTCTATCTTCTCCAAGCTAGGCTGCTGAAGCTGATATGCTCTTATTTGATGAAAAAAGTTGTTTGGTTTTTATTTTGAACTCTGTTTCCTTCAATCCTTGTTCTATCTCATCCATATCCAAGAGTAATTACATCAGAAGGCCTTTTTGGCTATATATTCAATTTCATAAAAATAAGAAATAGAGAAAATGACAAGGTCATGGAACTTGTTCCAACAGTGGTCGATGAATTTCTGTTCCTTTTTTATTCTGTCTTCTATCTTCTCCAAGCTAGGCTGTTGAAGCTGATATGCTCTTATTTGATGAAAAAAGTTGTTCGGTTTTTATTTTGAACTCTGTTTCCTTCAATTCTTGTTCTATCTCATCCATATCCAAGTCATCCCAGTATGCAGAGTCTTTATTTTTGAAGTCATTATACTCATCGATAAGGTTCTCTGCTTCATACTAGGTGTGAATTCGACGAGCTGAGATGTTGTCCAAAGATTGAGTGGTGGCCACAAAAGTTTGGTGCCAATGAAGAAGCAGTAGAAGTTGATCTAAAAACATCTGAAGCTCTGCTTGGGCAATAGGATTGAGGACTTGACTTCGAGTCATAATGTCACAAGCCCATCGAAGGTTTTTAAGAGAAACATCACCCTCAAGAACATTAAAGGGCAAGTGAGAAAAGGCCGCAAGCAGAAGTTGTGCTTGATATCGCTCAAATATAGTGGGGGATGTCGGAGGTTGATAAGAAGGAATAAACTGATTCTCAAAAAGAGTAACTCTCAATTCTTCCACCCAATGAGGGTTTTGCAGAAAAGAAGACGCATGAGGATCCATCTCGAAAGAATGAGGGAATTGGGGTTGTTTACGCAATCAAGCCAGTTAGAAGAGCAAAATTTTGCCCTCTGGGCTAAGAATGATGGGTTGTACCCTTGTGTTTCCTCTGGGCGACGAGCGGCCTGCACAATCTTCATAAGCATGGAAGATGCGTACCATGCTATAAGCAAGTTGTCTTCCAAACTGGGTCGGCGATCAATGAATACATATGGGTAAACCACCGAGCTCCGAACGAAAGGAGGGAAAGATGGAAGGTCAGTGAATTCGACGAAGTGATGATTAATGCGCTCCCTTAGCTTGGATTCCTCAGGTTCTGGCCAACCTCCCTAGCCAGAAGTCTTAGAAGAAGAAGAAGAAGAAGCTGCAGCCTTATCCCACACAGAAGGTTTTGGGTCAGAAGAAGAGCTTCGAATATCTATGTTTGCAAAGTTTTGGGCTAGAGAATTATGAACAATAGGTTCGTAATCCAAAGGTCGATAGTTTGCAAAAGCTTGCATGACTTGTATAAGTTCTTTCGAATGCTCAGACAATGGAAAATGTTCAAGGTGTGGAAAAGAATTTAATGCAGGTGGTTGCAGTTCTAAGAAGATGTGAAACCCATGCACGTCCTAGGACGTGGGTGAAGTGTTTTAATCCAATAATATCACCAAATATTGGGTATATTAGCGCAGGGGGTAATGTTGGTTGTATAAATTGTAAAAGCCAATCACGATTCAACACGTGGCATAAGAAGGGCAATTTGGGAAGGCAATATAAATTGCCAACCATAGTCAGATACATGTCAACCCATACTGACAATAATAGGTCTGCATAACACTGGAATGATCAAGGGATATAAAGTGATGTAACCCAACGGTTACTCACAAGGTTCAAATTCAAAATTAAGAGGGAAGCCTAACTGCAGACATGGCGTAGTGGAACTAACTGTAAAGAAGTATAATCATCGATCATGGAGGGATGCTTCGACGGTTAGAAGCTCATTTCGACAGTTATCATTGAGAAGTATAAATAGCAGAGAATGCCCCAAGAAGAAGCCACAGACTCAGATCCAGAGACCAGTTTTTATCTACTTTATTTTCCTTATAGTTTTACATTTCTATACTTCAAATTCTTGTATTCACTTTATTCATAGAAGTAGTTTCAAGTATCTTGTTGCTGTAAACCTCTGAGAGGCTGGATCAGATCATTGTAAGTTTTTCATTTTCATTTTCATTTAATGAAATGCTGCAATTATTCTTCATTTAATTATTGTTTATCAAATGCTCCTAAACAAGCCACCAGGAAAAATCCTCTTCATTAAGGTTGAAAAAACTAAAACACAATCGTCTAATAATTGGTTGACAATTAATCTTCTATAAGGACTAATCAATCCTTGCTGGCACGTTTAAAATTACAACACAAACTTTCAAAAGTCAAAAAAGTCAACAAATTCAAAACTCTTTTCAAAACATATAACAAACAAACTTTTTCTTTTCGAATCGTAATTCTAAAACTCACAAACTCAAGATATAATTCAATTCTTAAATCATAATTTTAAAATCCTATCAAACGCTACTTTTTAGTTTCAAAAGTGTAATGTAAAAATAAATAAATAAATAAATAATTCTTATGGGATTAAAAAAAAATTCTTATAGTGTCCATAAAAAGATGCAGGGTGTGTTTGGTTTGGTTTTAGAAAATAAATTTTCAAAAAAAGTTTTGGGAAAAAAGTTAATTTTTTTTTTGATTTATTTGATTGTATATTTTGGAAATCGTTTGGAGTATGAGAGTTTGAGAAATTTGATATTTTGTTATAATTGAGTAGATGTGTGTGAGAGAAAAAGTAATTGAAAATGAGATATGAGAGAGAAAAAGTGATTGATTAATGTGTAAGAGAGATAAAAGTGATTTTAATTTTTTTTTTCAAAATTACTAAATTATATGCCTGTTTGGCATCTCCTAAAATAGTTAAAAAATTAAAGTCGCCGAAAAAGTAAAAAAGTAACAATTCACATGTTGAAGGGAAACAAAAAGTTGAATAGACAAAGAATAAAAATACAGAAATACCCCTTCAAACAGTGCATTTTTTGGTCAAAAGAAAAGTGTAGCATACAGAAAGCATGTCAAAAAGTCAAAAGAGTAGGAAGGTAATTTTGTTAGTTGATACAATATTTTAATACATATTTTTTTTATGAAAAGTTAAAAATTTACTTTAAATATACATATTTTTTATCTACTTTTTTAATCAAAAAAATACACTTATATAATTCATCCTAATCCCTAAACAAAATTATAACAAAATTTCTTCAAAAATTATTTCTTAAAAACCAACCAAACCAGGCCGCAAAATCTTGAGGGATAAATTTCTCTCTCTCACTCTCTGATTCACCGAGAAGCGTGTTTTGACAGTTGTACGAGCGTATGAGCTAAATTCCCGTACACACCATTCCATTGACAACTGTTTGGCAATCATGTGAATCCCCTCCACCCCCTATGTCGGTGCCTCCCAACCCCAAGAAAAAATCTCTGACTGCTAATGCTTTTTCTCTTTTAAAGCTCTCTCATTCCAAGCTAGATCTATTCTCATACTCTCTCTCTCTCTCAAGCAAAGGTCTCAAAGGTACTCTACATTTCCCAATCTTCATACTCATTTACAGTTTATGTGTTTCTAATTGAATTAACTTGATTTCGCAGCTTTAAAAATCTTGTTGGATCGCAATGTCTTCGACATTGGTAGCATCTTTGAATCCCAACGGCGAAGAGGTAAAATCCGCAAACCCTACCCTCCATTCTTCGAATTCGAGCAATGGCAAGCCTTGTTCCATCAATGCCACCGCCACCACCACCACCACCACCAAGCCATTCAAGATCTTCGTTGGCTACGATCCCCGCGAAGACCTCGCTTTCGAGGTCTGTCGCCACTCCATCCTCACACGAACTTCAATCCCCGTTGAGGTCTTGCCCATCAAGCAATCCGAATTGAGGCAAAATGGTTTGTATTGGCGAGAAAGAGGCAAACTCGAGAGCACCGAGTTCTCTTTTAGTCGATTCTTGACACCTTACTTGGCCAATTATGAGGGTTGGGCTATGTTTGTTGATTGTGATTTCCTTTACTTGGTTGATATTAAGGAATTGTGTCAATTGATTGATGATAAATTTGCTGTAATGTGCGTTCAACATGATTATACACCTAAAGAGACTACCAAGATGGATGGCGCGGTTCAAACCGTGTATCCGAGGAAGAATTGGTCTTCCATGGTGTTGTATAATTGTGGCCATCCCAAGAATCGGGTGTTGACGCCCGAGGTTGTCAATTCTGAGTCGGGTGCCTTTCTTCATAGGTTTCAATGGTTGGATGATCATGAAATTGGGGCTGTCCCTTTTGTTTGGAACTTTCTTGTGGGTCATAATAAGGTTGTTGAGAATGATCCGACTACGTTCCCAAAGGCCATACATTATACTCTTGGAGGACCGTGGTTTGAGGCTTGGAAAAATTGTGAATTTGGAGATCTTTGGATTAAGGAAATGGAGGAATACAACAAGGCAATGGAGAAAAAAGTAGATTAGGTAGTCAGTCGTAGCCGATGACTAAAAAATTTCTTAATTCATATGCAATGTTTAGATAAGATAATTGTTGGCTCGCTATTGTTTTTCCTAGATCGGTACTATTTTAGTAGTTACATAGGCATTACTGGCATATATGCTATGTGGATCATGAGATCTTCCTATTGTTTACTTTCAATTGTTTTTATATTCAATTGTAATTCTACACTCGCGTGTAATATCAAATTCATTGATCATTTGTATTGCGTTAATTATGGTATTGATGTGTATAATTTGTGCATGTCCATTGCAATTTATTGTTGTGTTTCATTTGGTTTTGTAGTTGAGATAGCTTCTCTATTTTTCTTTATCTTGTAGTTATGGTTGTTTCCACGCATTGTATCGGTTTTAGTGCTGTCTGATGTCCATTTCCAGAATCCTCTTGATTCTTCTGTTGCGTGGACGACCAAAATTTACTGGCAATGTTCCATCAGTTGAACACTGGACATGTTTACTTTGGCCAAATGCACCCTTTTCTGCCCTTCCTGTCTGTATTAAACATACCATTAACGTGCTGTGTTTGGATCATATAATTTGGGTAGAGATTTAGGAAGGGAAAGGAAAATAGAAAATGTAAGTGAAATATGAATGAAATATAGTCACATTTTACCTACTTTTTTTTCTTTTTCTTTCAAAATCGCTATACAAATTCATGATCCAAACATAGCTTAAGTTGAAAGTTCTTTCTTATTTTAGTGTTGGGCTGGTTGGTTTCATTCCTTTGTGACATATGCACGCAATATATATATATATATATATTCTTTAGACAAGTGCATGTATTACATCTATTTGTAGCAGGGGAAAAGATTTTTGCTCTGTAGCTGTATGGTTTGTACTTGAGAGTTGAGATCTTTCTAGTATATCTAAACTTTTGGAACTTGACTAAATTTCTTACCACTAGTAAGTAGTCATAATCATACCAGCAATGACCTAATATGTTTGGCTGTTTGATTGGTCAATGCCTTGGAGCTTCACTGGAAGTTTTGCTCCTAGAGAACCCTTTTCTAATTCTGAAAGGAATGTGCCTGTATTAAACTTGAACCAATTCAACATGTGCTGTTAGTTACATACACAAAACATAGAGCAGTCTTCCCCACATCCTACCTGTTGCTAATTTTTGTAGTTGAATCAGGAAATCTATGGACATACTCTCTGCAGCTGGATAAGCACAATTTCCAATACATCAAAAGTTGAATTTCTAGGTCGATGGTTCCTAATTTATAGTCCCTTTAGGAGTAAGAGGAGATATGCCCTCTTTTAGGCGGGTTGGACAAGTCTCACAATTCTCTATTTCGAAATATTTTAAGAGATGAGAGAACACCAACTGAACTTCTAGAGCTCTTTTTTGAATAATCAAGCTTGTTTGTCTCTAATGTGAATGAGGAATGCAAGATAGCTATGTTTGGATTATGGATTTGGGTAGGAATTTGAAAAGAGAAAGGGAAAAGAAAAGGCGAGATAAATCAAGAAAGAATGTAGTTTATATTTCATTCACATTTTTCTCAATCATGGATTATGATTTGCTAAGGTTATCATTCAGTCATAAAGAGGAAACAAAAGGCAAATCATATGTGGTTACTATTGAGCCTATGCATTGCTCTATGTTTTCCCCTTGCTAACGGTTGCATTATCACCACTGCTATTATTTTGCAATTTGTTTACCTTTTCCAATTCTAAGGATGCAATAATAGAAAGTTTTCATTTGAACAATTTTGTTATATGAAAGCAGCTCAGATTCTGAGAATGTTACATTGTCAATTAGTTTGAAGTCCAAATGCTAGAGATGTGGCTTGCATCTATTTCTTCTTCCTCTGTAAACAGCAGCTGCAAGTATCTTTTGATCATCGCCGAGTGCATTTAAAATGACTTGCTTATTTCTTGATTTGTTCCAAACATTGAAATCTATTTGATTTCTTGTCATAAATTCTAAGGTTTTAGTTGGAGACTATTGGATGAATATTTCATTCTGGAACCAAGTAAGTTTACTACACACTAACAGCTTCTTTAAACCCCTTTAATAGTTATCCTTAGCTTCACTGTTAACTGTCATTATATGCCTTGTATATGGCCCTGCAGTCCATTTCAAGTACTTGTAATGCCTTAAGACAGGCATTTCTCCATCCTCCCCCTCTGAGGGCTTCCTCTCTGCTCTTGAATTGTGATCAAATGGGATAATTTCCATTTGTTTAAATGTTATTAAAAAATAAAATGAAAATAAAAATAAATTTGGCATGATTTCCTGCAGAGAAATGTATATGGTTTCTGTTGAACTACGGTTTCTTAGATCAATTGTATGCCTAATGTGGCTACTTGGGATTGAGTTATCGTTGCTTCCTTGCTTATAGCTTTGATGAAACTCAGTAATGGCAACCTCTGTTCAAGGGGTTCATGAAAACAGGTTTCCGCCTTTAGACTTCGACTGGTTAATTTTATTTTCTGGGCTGCAGTGTCATTCAGTGTGGGCATCCAATAACTTCTCCTGATTGTTCACTATGAAGAGTGCTATTAGTTCCACTGCATTGGTTCAACCAGCTCAATTGTTGTAAGGCTTTTTGTGCTTAGGCATAGGCAACTCATTTTATTCACAGCAAGCAATCTATGTATCAGTGTGGCACAATACAGTCAAACTCTTCAAAATGAAATGTTGAACTACTTGTATTGTATGCCTCCTCTCTCAACTGGCGTTATTAAGTATTTTACTTCTGATTATTTTCGCAATTAATGCTCTGTTTATTTGGGTGAAAAATATTTTTTAGAAAATATTTTTTGGTATTTGGTACTAATAGAAAATAGAAGTTAACGAAAAATATTTTTCATAATCAATAGAAAACAAACTTATATGGGCAGAAAATATTTTTCACTTTCAATCGAAAGAAAACGTTTTTTAGATTAAAATCTTATCAATGTCATCAAATTATCACCGTTATTTTCATCTTCACCACCACATTGCGGCTATTGCCACCATCACCGTCCGTATTGCCGAGGTTGCCGCCATCCCACCACCATGCCACCATCTCCACATTCATTTCACCACCACTACGAAACATAGAAAAATATTCTTTATTTGAAAATAATTTTTTTTCCAAACAAATGGAGTGTAAGAAAATGAGAGAGAGAGAGAGAGAGAGAGAGAGAGAGAGAGAGAGAGAGAGAGAGGTGTATGCCTCCTGTCCTTATACAGATTTATATGGAGTTCTAAAGAACCCCCCTTTCTTCTTCTTTTTTGGCACATTAGCTTCCTCTTTTAACTTGATTTAACCTCCATTTGGGAGGTACCATTTAATCAGTCTCATTATCTTATATATGCATGATCAGTGGCAAGGTCATTTTGGAAAGCCTCGTTGATTTCTGTCATATCTATTACTATCAATATTTTGAGCAGGGACGGCAATGGGGGTTAATGAGGTGGATATTAATTTTTCATCCTCATTTCCCTATAATAAATTTTTCCCATTCCCCATTCCTCATGGGTACCACCCTCCCCATTTTCTAATGGGTTTGGATTTTTCCCAACTCACTTTAATTCTCATTTTTATTTTATTTTTATTTTTTATATTTAATGTTAACAACCACTTTCTTTTTTTTTGTTTTTTTAAAGGTTCACAACAAAAGCTAAATATATATTCAATCTTTTTTCTTTCTTTTTTAATATATTTAATGTTAATAACTTTTCTTCTTCTTCTTCTTCTTCTTCTTCTTCTTTTTTTTTTTTTTTTGTCTTTTTTTTATAAAGGTTTTAGCTAAATATACCTTCAATCTTTTTTCTTTCTTTTTTAATATATTTAATGTTAACAACTTATTTTTTATTTTTTTTAAGATTCACAACAAAAGCTAAATATACATTCAATCTTATTTTATTTTATTTGTGTTCAACAATAAAATCAAATACACATTAATTAGTTAATTAAAAAGTTTGTTTTATAATAATCAAATATATAATTTTTGGTTGTGAACCTGAAAAAAATAAATAAATAAATAAAAGAAAAAGATTGAATGTATATTTAGTTTTGGTTGTGAATCTAAAAAAAAAAAACATATGGGGAAATTAGTAGGTATCCATCCCCTGTGGATATTTAAAGAATATCACTTACCTTACCCAATGGATAAGAAAAAAAATGAGAAAACCCATGTATTTGGGTTAGGTCTCCATGAATACCCACAGGGTAGGTTATCTATTGTCATCCCTAATTTTGAAAAAATTTTTTGTTCTGAACTTTCCGTATTTGCCAAAAGAGACAGACAATAAAGTGCAGGTGCCAAGGAAAATTGCAAAATGGATTTTTTTTTTCCCCCTCTAAATTAAAAGAAAAAAAAATTATATACAAGTCCAATTTTTACATTCAGTGATGTGTAAGTGAGATAATTGATTAATAATTAAAGAATATATAAGTGAGAAAAATAACACATGAAAATAATTGATTGATTGATCATTAGACTTTTTTTGTTACAGATTGATCATAAGACTTGAAAAGTAAATCTAATTTTTAGATTAAAATAACAATATTTAAAAAAAGAAAAACTTCCATGGGCTTCCCAATATCTTGATATAGCCACTGATCTTGCCTAACTTTTCTCTAGCCCAGGATTCCATGAGTTATTATTAAATATAAGTTGATAAATATTGAGTAAATTTTACATGTATTCTAAGAATATAAATTAGAACTAATGTCACGTAATTCAGCTAATATATTATATATGAATGATAGTAATGAATTACAGATTGTGTGGGAGCCAAATTATAGTAGCCCAACACAATTGGGCCCAAATGGAGGTCAGCCCATTGGGCAGATATATTGGATCCAATTAGAGCTGAGTAAGATTGGATAGAACAATTGTTGAATAGGGGCCCTCAATGTTTGGTAGCCGAGCGGAGTAGTTCAGAAAAGTCAGCGTCTCGCCCAGTTGTCGATTCTTCTCCATAAAGTGCAATGGAGGAATGGGCCCTGACAGGGGTGCATAGTAAAAAATATAATGAGAAACTCTATAAAAAGGGGGAAAGAACTCAGGAATCAAGTATGTTGTAAATAGTTTACTTAGAGAAAATTATGTTCTAAATAGTTTACTTTGAAAGAAGAAAACTAATTATATCGTCGGAATGCTAATTCCAGCACCCTCAACCGGAGTTATTCTTCTGTTTCAAGTGACCATCAAAGGACTACTCCAAGATCTGCTTGGATAAAACAGTATCCCAAATTCATTATCTTAGATTGCATTATGTATATAAATATAACAAAATCTTAA